ATGTATGCATGTATGCATGTATGCATGCATTTTATTTTATTTTATTTACCTTGTCCTTGTCACTAATCTGGGTGGTTTCCAACAGTAAAACCAACATACAAAGAACAGCCCCAAATGCCACCCAAACCTAAAATATAAAATAAGACATATCTATATAACAAAACAATAGGCACAACTCATGCAATGGAGAAAACAGTTTTGTCTTTACATGCATGGTGCTTCCTACCCTTTCTGAGATTTTCTAGCACAATCGCTTACAAATGCTTGTGGAGTGCAGAGGACCCTCTCTGAGAAACCCCAGGGCAGTCCGCAGCAAAGAAGGCAACCAGTCCAGTATTAGGAGCTGCTACATTATAGACTTAGAAAAACATTATTTTTTGCCTGAACCTTACATAATTCCTCAGGGCAGCAGCACCACTGCTCTCGCCGCCACCACTGAGTGCTCTGCTGCTTGAGGTAACAGTTTCCCCTGTCTAATGGCTGCCCTAGCATGGACTGTAGCCCTTGCCTTATCAGACCTCCAGGTTGATCCTTTCATTTCGCAAGTTATTTTGGCTGGGAGACCATCAATCTTTTTTTTTTCCTCCATGACAGCAGTGATCCCTTTTTTCAGAGCATCATTAAGCATCTCCAGGAAGAAGACAGGTCTGACACTGATTAATTTCCCCTGCTGCTCCTGAAAGTCTGAAACAGACAAGTCACCAAGACGGCAGATGGCCAGGATTCTATGTACGGTCTTTCTGTTCTCATCGTACACCTATGCTGCTCTATGGGGGTTGATTGGCTGCAACAGACTTACTTAGTTTTTTAGGCTGTGACCAAGATCAAGATTTGTAAATGAGATGGGTGAAAATGTTATTTGGCTCATCATTGTGATGCTGATTTACCAAATTCACATCACAGCCACCGTTCTGATAAATATTCTGATTTACGTTGCCCAATTTCCAGGTAGAGTATACTCAGAAGTGGTTTACCATTCCCTTCTTCTGGGGGCATCATGGAACTGTGCAGCTTGCCCAAGGCCACACAGACTGATTCTTCTCCCTGGAGGCACTGTGCCTCCAGGGAGGATTACGTGCTTAAAACAAGCTCTCAGATTCCCCCGGCTACCATGATCAATAGCCATGCTGGCTTGAGAATTTGGGGAGCTGTAAAATGCATTTTCCATACGTTTGGGGATAGGCACTTGCCTATTTTTGAACCCAAATGATAATGTTAGCATCCAGAATAATAACAAACTTGTGCTTTCTGCCAATAGCTGGGATAAGATCCTATGTATCTTCAGCATCCTAGATTCCATCCCACAGTGGATTTCATGTTTATAGAGGCTGCTGGCTATGAAATACCATTCACCTCTCAAATCCCATGTGATTTTCATCCCCAGTATGCTTTGAGGCATTCCTTTTTTTTATGCCCTCAAAGCCTTAACTAAATAGTCCATATAATACAGTCCAGAATTCTGTTCCCACTGTGGCCAAATAGATAATGATGAGAAGCCCAGAGCCAGGACAAAAACGCACATATTGTAGAAGAAGTCAGAATAAACTGGATTTTAATTTCCCAATGGCTTCAAACTTTGGATCTTTTGTTAGACAGCATTTCCCTTTTGCAAAAGGTTGCAGAATCGGGTGACTTTACGCCAGAGCAAAAGGCTCAATCACTTCCCATCAAACAGAAATGATGCTGGTTCTAGCAAACTTCAGAAGTCCCTTGAATATCCTGACAGAGAACTGTTAATAGTCTGCATTGTACTGGTTGGTTTATTTTTTAAAAAAATATAGTTTTGATTTTTGGGTTTGTTTTTTAACCAAATGGCTCCTTTCTTGGCCGTCTTACCAAAGAGTGAGTACAGAGTTCCGAAAATAAGGTCTTCTCCTTCAGACAAGGTGGACAGGAACACTGAGGAACTGGAGGCATTTTCCATCTGCAGGCAAAATAAAAGGCCAAGGCAAGTCATGAGAAATTTGAATGAGCTGCAGAGAAGTTAGCATGCATTTCCCCCCAGAAGGAATGGAACTGTACTCTGGCTGGGGGCTTTACAGCAGGCTGTGGCTAAAACTAAATGAACTGCTGGAACTATGAGCGCACTGCTGTGAAGAGAGGAAGAGACAGTTCACCTTGATGGTGGCAGATTCATTCTATGCAGTGGATTGATCCACTCAACTCTAGGCCATTGGTTCCCAACCATGGGTCCCTGGATGTTCTTCACCACTAGCTGTACTAGTCAGGGGTTCTGAGAGTTTTAGTTCAAGAACATCTCAGGACCCAAGGTAATCCCACTTAATTACAGCCGTGTGCATTTAATTACAGCTTACGTTGATTAACAGCAGAGTGATTTTTTTTTTAAACTTAGGTACTTTGCAGTCAGAAAAAGCCGCTTATTGGGATCAGCTGCTTTCTTCTGTCACTTATATTTGCTGAGATTTGCACTAGGTTCTGATTTCCTATCCTTGTGGATACTCTGGGGACAGTCTGTCTGAACCTTAATGTTAACTGCAAAGAAGTTTACCAGCTTAATCAGAATGAAAGCCACCAAATTTTTTTGCAGCTGTCTACCAGGTGATGTCTGCAGTAAGATCAAGTTAAATGACATATTAAAGCAAGCAGGCAAGGAATTCTACTATGCAAAATATAAACATGTAAGCAGAATCATACTGGATCAGACCAATTCTTCCTTAATGGTTTGCTCTTTTTTACATTCTTTCCAGAGACATCCACTGACTTCCTCCAGAAACCTATCCAGATGCCAAGGCAGAGGATGAATAACATCAGACCCATGAGTCATAGGCAGCTCCCTCTTTTATTTTGGGAGCCCCCAAATCCTTCCAATCAATCTTGTTTGAAAGCAAACTTCCCCTACTAAACAAAGTGTGAAACTCTCCTGCCTTGTACTGACCGAAACTGAAGTTCCTAGGAAACTGGAAGTAGAATTCTGACAACATAGTGGCATCGCAGTCACAATGGTGCCAATGAATTACTTTCCCCTTTGCATTCATCTGGTACAACACATGTTGTCTTTTAAGCACCAGTGAATATTGCTGTGGCAGGAACTACTGTACACATTTGCAGATAATCCACAATAAGTTTTTTTTTTTTTTACTGTGGGTTATCTGCAAATCGGCACAAAACTGACTGAAACACATGCTGTTTTAATGCCTCTTGTTTCACATGGCTGGATGACAATAGTGGTGGCTGAGGAGTGTGCTGGCAACAGCAGCAGCAGTGTCGGGGGGGGTCTTTTGCCCTTTGAAGACACCCCTGTTGCTACTGTTGCTGCACTAGCTGTCCACCACCATCCAGCCACCTCTAAGACAAACCCAGCTGGCTGCAGAGGGAGCTCTACTGTGCATCAAAACAGTGCCCATTTAAAGCACAGTAGGGCTCACCAGGGATGCTGGTAACTCTTCGGTCCTGAGATCCAAGTCAGAGTTTCAGGCCCCAAGTCCCAAGTCTTTGGTCCCAAGTCCCAAATCCCAAGTTCGAGTCCCTATTAAAAACAGGCCTTTTCCTTAGGAAAAAAAAAGGAGGGGTGGCTGTGTTCCGAGTTGAGTCATTTAAAAAAAAAACTGAGTCAAGTCACTGGTGCAATTTAAGTCTGAACTGATTGTGAGTCTGACTTGAGTTCCCATCCCTGGGGGTTACATTGTGTGAAGCTACAAAAGTTGCTTTACGTTCCACGTTTTTTTATGGGGGTGAGTAGTTGCAGCCTACATGCGCCTGCAGATCACATTATGCTGCCTGGTGTGGAAAAGTGTGAGGCAATGCCGTTCCCATTAGGCCAAGGTATATACCATACCTAAAGCCAACTGGCTAATCTTGACATAAGCACACCTCCACTTTCCAGTCAGTGATAATACAATAATAGCAAATTAAATCATTATTTGTTGTCCCATTTCATGACACCCACAATCTGATGCCTCGGGTGGTCATCACACCCTCCTTCATGAGACAGCCAGCTGTGATTTCATAGCATTTAAAACAGCATACTGACCATTTTTTTTACTGGATTTGCTGATAAGTGAGGGAAGTTTTATTTCCTATTTTTGTTCCTACATGCTAAAACTATGCTTCATATTATCACTACAAACAACATAAACCATGTTGGCCATTTCCCAGACCTAGTTTTTAAAATGTAATTGTCTTGTTTTGAATCGCTTCTCCCCGTGTATGCATGTTCAAGGCAATTTGCCATAAAATGAGAACACCATGAAAAAAAAGCAAAACACGACCATTTCAGGAAAGAGAGACCTAAAGCACAGCAGGTAAAATTTGTACACTACCATAAATCAAGGGAATTCCCTAAAACAGAGATGGAAAATATGAGACATGGCCATTATTGCTGCTTCCCAAAGCACCCCTAAATACTATATCACCAAATTCTGGAAGGAACGCTAATAAAAAAAAATTAAAGCACTCAGGTTTCTGACTTTAAAGAACTTGTAGCCACTTACCACAAAAATTCAGCCACAAACAAGGGAAACTCCATTTAAAGCAAGCAACCCTCCCCTTCAGCACACACACATTTTGGCAGCAATCTGTTAAGATGAATTTAAAGCCATTTAATTGACTCCCCCTTCCTTCAACTGGTGCTCAATGTTGGCAACCCAGTCTTGTCAGGGAGGGGGTATGAACCACAGCTGCTATGAGGAGGACAAAAGTGCCCCACGGTCCTTGGCTGACATTGGCCACCTCAGCTCTAAAATGAAAGAGCAGCCTCAGGCCGCAGTGACGCCAGTGTAAAGTTTCCAAGTTACTCCTTGTGAATTTTGATCCTTTTTTGCGGAGGTGGTGGTCAGATGACATATCTTTTGTTCCCCCTCCGTGCTGTTTCTACATCAAATCCATCCTGCTGAGAGGCTACTACTATCTTTGTTCCGTGTTTCATCGCACAGCACAACCGGCATCCCATTAAGTGTGTACTCCAAAACCAACTCATTTCTTATGCACCTACCATGCTGTGCACCTTCCTGTACAGACTAGTACATGGCCAGCAAGGGTGTTTTGTCGACACAGCAATGTATCCACACAATTTTTTTAAAGGGGAAGAGGGGCAGGGAAAGGAAGGGGATATGTCCTGCTCAAGGGGTATAGATGAATGTACTGTAGATGAATGACTACATCTAATTTACCCCCCAAAAGCTGAACGGTTAAAAACATATGACCCACTATCACAGGATATATGCCATGTGACCACCGTGTACAACTATATAGGAATCAGAAGACATGAAAAAGAAGGGAATCATTTCTCTTGTGTGACCGTGGTCCAAACTGCAAAAAAATCAGTGGAATAGTACCATTTTAGCCAGTTTTCTCATTACCAGTAAGGGTTTTGTGTGAGCGGCTATACATTTTGGAGGAGAGGAATAAAACTGTTTTGAGTAAACACATCCAGTAAGCCAGGGATGAGAAGGTGGAAGGAGGCTGAAACCTCCATACGCTACTACTTGCAGGCTTCCTGAAGGCATTCTGATTGTTTACTGCGGCAAAGAGGATGCTAAAGTCAATGGACCTTTCACTCAATCCATCAAAGCTCTTCTTTTGTTCCTGAGCCCAAGTTAAAAAACAGCTGGATTTTCTTCTAAGTAAAGATGTCTGAGATCAGGCTGCCCAAAGCTATAACTCAATGAGGAAAGGTTAGTCTCCACCGATAACTCTGTGTTCAAAAGAACACAAGGCAATTCCTGGCTCCTATGCGAGGCTGGAATCTATCACATCATCCACTGGAGGAAAAGTTTAGTATCAGCTGTAACCAAAGGCACAAGAGAATCTGTGGGAGCTCTTTTGTTCCTTTAAAAATGGAGCAATCAGCTTATGAAATAGATTTCTATTGGTTTTCCATCATTACAGGAAATGATGGGGAAAAATCTTTCCCGACATGTTAGAGGTCTACCACAGCTTCCTTGTCACCCCACAAAAATCTCAAGACAGTACGGTTAATCTGCAGGGTTTCAACCATACATACCCTTCAAAATTTCAAAACAACCTAGTTTAAAAGAAATCTATTGAGATGCTTTTCTTCATCAGATGCAACCTATTACATACTGTTTGTCAGGGCTATCTTCCTCTTGAATCTCCTTTGTTATTAAAAGAGTCCATCAGTTGACCTCCAGTGCTGGAGATGAACTGCCTCTGATCAGATGTCATCTGTCTGTAATGTCATAGGGGATGGTATGCCCTTAATACTTCCAGATCTTGAGAAAGTTACTTTTTTTGGACTACGGTTCTCAGTGTCAGTGACTATCCTGACTGGGAGCTTCCGGGAGTAATAGTAGTAAACAAACAAACAAAACTTTTCAAGCTCTAAGTACTCCTTGATTCCCTACTATCCCTTTTTCTACCTTTGGAGAGGAGCCATAGCTCAGTGGGGTAGAGCACTGGCTCTATATACAGAACATTCCAATTTCCATTGCAACCATCTCCAGCTCAAAGCACTGTGTATGGTGAGTCTCCCTATGGCCTTGGTGATTTCTTGGTGATCATCCTAGATGATAATGAACTAGATTAGGGTGGACCACTTGGTTGCATCCAGTACCAATTTTGACTCCCTCTCTAATCTGCTAAAAGGGACGTGGTGGCTCTGCGGGCTAAACCGCAGAAGCCTGTGCTGCAGGGTCAGAAGACCAAGCAGTCGTAAGATCAAATCCACGTGACGGAGTGAACGCCTGTCGCTTGTCCCAGCTCCCGCCAACCTAGCGGTTTGAACGCATGCAAATGCAAGTAGATAAATAGGGAACCCCTCGATGGGAAGGTAACTGCGTTCCGTGTCTAAGTCGCACTGGCCATGTGACTACGGAAGATTGTCTTCGGAGAAAAACGCTGGCTCTATGGCTTGGAAACGGGGATGAGCACCGCCCCCTAGAGTCGAACATGACTGGACAAAAATTGTCAAGGGGAACCTTTACCTTTACCTAATCTGCTGTGTTCTGCAAAATCATAAATGGCAATAACTTCACTCCTGGTTTTGGAACAATAACAATAATAATGTGTCAATTTGCCTGTGAGTTATGGTGGTCTTCATAGAGTTGTCTAGATATAAATTATTCAGAAGTGGTTTACCAGTGCCTACTTGTGGTGGTGCTCTGGAACCATACAGCTTTCCCCTTGACTGCAGGGCTGGCAGGAAACGTAACCCATCAACTACATACCCTGCGTAGATTACCTCAATTGGCCCTTCTCCTGAGAGGCATAGTGTGCATTCATACACCATTCCTCTGTTTACCTTCCACTAAAACAAGGCCCTGCACTTGCTTCTGGAGGTACTGAAAGGCAGTTTTCCTCACACTGAACAATTCTCTCCCCAGAAGCCTGAATCTAACTCAGTTAAGAGTTATAAAATCAACAGAATTTACGTAAGTGTTGTCTCATCACTCAGTAACAGGTTCAGTGAATCGACTGTGACTGGGCTGCTGACTGGAGTGAGCACAGAGTGCATGAGGTCCATGGGATCTTAAGGGCCCACTTCTGAGAGAAATGCTCTGCCATATTCTATGATAACATCATGAAAATGGCGGCCACTTATACTTCATTGCAAAAGCTGGTGAAAGTGGATGCTTATTTGTATCACATATGTATCTGCCAATCTGCATTAACTGATATGAATTTGCACCCAATTACTAATTATCTTTAATACAACTCAGAAATATAGAGAACTTTTCTCTGTAAAATAAATTAAAGTAAGAGTTATGGCTGCCCTAAACTCCCTACACTTCACTCTGGACTGTGAGACTCAAGAGACAATGTTACTCCTGAAGCTTCACTCCCCCACATGCTCCACTATTTATTAAAAACAACAACCAAACAATCTTGTAAAATAACAATTTAAAAAAAAATTAAAACCAAGAGATCCATCTTGTTTCCAGAAGAAAACAAATAAAGAAAGTC